ATTTAACAACACCACCTCCAGTTCTAATACCCTGTTAGGGAAAACCCATCTTGTTGAACATGTCATTGACACAGGGGACGCTCGCCCCATTAAACAGAGGTACTACCCGTTGTCGCCTGCACGCTTAGAGTGTGTCTATGAAGAGCTGGAAAAGATGCTTGAATTAGGAGTGGTTGTGCCTTCAAAGAGCCCTTGGGCCTCCCCAATCGTCTTATTGGATAAACCGGATGGCTCCAAGAGATTTTGTGTCAATTATCGTAAACTAAATTCTGTTACTAAGCGGGATGCTTACCCCCTACCACAAGTGACTGTTATACTTGACAGATTGAGGGATGCAAGGTATTTGTCTTCTTTAGATATAAAGTCCGCCTATTGGCAGATACCAATGGCTGAAGGGAGTCAGGATAAAACTGCGTTTACGGTCCCTGGGCGTGGTCTCTTTGAATTTACTCGTATGCCATTTGGCCTACACAATGCCCCCGCCACATGGCAAAGGTTTATTGAATCCATCATCGGCGGAGATCTCGAACCTCATGTGTTTGTCTATTTGGACGATGTGATAGTACTTACGACCTCGTTCGACCACCATTTGGAAGTATTGAAAGAAATTTTTACGCGTTTGTGCTCAGCTAATATCACTCTAAACAAAGAAAAATGTCGCATATGCCGCTCTGAACTTCGTTATCTTGGATACATAGTGGACCAATGGGGATTGAAGGTCGACCCTGAGAAGGTAGATGCCATATTAAATATGCCTACTCCAAATAGCCAAAAGTCTGTGAGACAGTTTGTAGGGACAGCGTCTTGGTACAGACGGTTTATATCGGATTTTTCTACCAGACTCTACCCTCTAACCCAGCTCTTGCGGAAGAACAACAAGTTTTTATGGACGGAGGAAGCGCAGAAGGCGTTTGAAGATATTCGGAGTTGCCTGATACGAGCCCCAATTTTGACCTGTCCCGATTTTTCTAAAGAATTTATTATATCCTGCGATGCTTCAGGAGTTGGCTTGGGAGCCGTTTTAAGTCAGCAGGGAGAACAAGGAGAGCAAGTAGTGGCCTATGCCAGTCGAACCCTAACAAAAGGGGAACAAAAACACTCAGCCACGGAAAGGGAGTGCTTGGCAGTTATATGGGCCATAGAACGCTTTAGGCCATATGTCGAAGGTACTAAGTTCACGGTAATTACGGATCACCACAGTCTATTATGGTTACACAATCTCAAAGACCCCCAAGGGCGTTTGGCACGTTGGGCTTTACGTTTACAACCGTACAACTTCCAGCTAATCCACCGCAAAGGAAAGGAGCATATAGTCCCTTACATGCTATCTCGAACTACCGCTCCACAGTTAAACTGTCTAAAGGACAGCACTCATCTTGAGGACAAATGGTATGAGAAAATGCTACAAGAGGTTAAGGATCATGGTGATAAGTACCCTTTGTGGAGAGTTGATAATGGAAAGCTCTTTAAGTTCTTGCCTTCTACTAAAGACCAACTGGAAACCACATCCGAATGGAAGGAGGTAGTCCCAAAGTACGCCCGCTCCGATATATTAAAAAGACATCATGATGAACCCACAGCAGGTCACCTAGGTGCCCATAAAACTTTAATCAGAGTGCAAGGTCTCTACTATTGGCATAAAATGAAATCCGATGTTTCCAAGTATGTAGCTCGATGTCATGTCTGTCAACAGACTAAAGATGATAATCAAAAACCCGCAGGGTACATGGGCCAACGCCGGGGTATCAGTAAGCCTTGGGAGATGGTAGCGGCAGACCTCCTAGGACCTTTCCCCAGATCCAACGCTGGATTCAAGTATCTACTGGTAGTTACCGATACATTTACAAAGTTCCCACTGTTATTTCCATTGAGAGCAGCTACTTCTAACTTAGTCACCAAACACCTGGAAGAGACCTTCCTCATTTGGGGAATACCAAAATATCTGATCTGTGACAACGGCCCAGAGTTCACGGGTAAAACATTAAAGTCACTTGCTACCGAGTACAAGATAAAAATTCTTTACAATGCAAGCCGACATCCACAGGCTAACCCGGTGGAGAGGGTTAATAAGACTTTAGGGAATATGTTGCGAGCCTATGTGGGAACTAACCACAAGTCGTGGGATAGAGAGGTTCCAAAGCTTGGGTTTGCCTTAAGATCAGCCAGACACGACACAACCAGTTATTCGCCAGCCTACCTGAACTTCGGGAGAGAACTTAAACGTAATTGGGAAACAGTGCCACCGGACCAAGACCATGGAAATGAAGATGAGGTACCTTCTGTCGAAGATCCTGCTAACTTTGGAGCTAAATTAAAGGACTTACAAAAGGTGTTTAAGGATGTTGAGGGAAGACTAATACAGGACCACCAGAAGAACACCCAGAGGTATAACCTTAGAAGAAGGCCTCTTAACTTCAGTGTGAACGATAAAGTGTGGAAGAGAAACTTCGTCTTATCTGACGCCACCAAGGCTGTCTGTGCTAAGTTGGCTCCTAAATTCATTGGACCATTTGTTGTATCAAAGAAAATATCTCCACTTGTCTACCAACTTAAAGATGAGAAGGGCAAAATCATTGGAAACTGGCATATCTCTGACCTTAAACCGTACAACTAGTGAGAAAATTTGGGAAATTTTCTTTTGGTGGGGGAGTGTTGTAACAATCCGATTGTGGGCCACCATTGGAGGTTGGACTGATCACCCAACCAATTACTTTCAACCTTGTATTTTAGAATAGCGCTCATACAATGGCCATAATAACCCTCGGTCGATTGTAAGAATATTCAACGCCAAGAGGTCATGGAAAAAAAATCATGTTTGAGGCTAACAGACGGCCTAGGTTCCAATTGGATTCGGATGGAGTGAGTGGCTGGTGCAGTGAACGCCCGGCTAGAATTAGGTCCTTTCCATTTCTGATTATCGAAGATAGAACATCTTAAAGAAGCCCTCACTTGAATTTAAGGATTAAAAGCATCAACTTGCTGATTTTAGAGGGCTGGTACTCTGGTATCCTACTGTCGTGCAGTACTGCCGTGCAGTGCTGACGTGCCTTGAGAATTTCGCCTGTGGACTGCCCGAGAGACTGGTGGAGTGCGCTTGTACGTGGAGAGCAGAGCCTATTCCAGACACGGCTAGACTTAGGCCTACCTTGGTCTAAACGGACTTGTGGAACCCCCCCCCCCCTTTGAGTCTGAGGGACTTCGCTTCAAACCGATAAGTGATAACTTGTAGTAACTTGCCATTAGAGTAACCTCACTTGGAAGAACAGTTAATGGGTTGCTGGCCAGCCTTTCAAACAGTGGACAGTGCAACTGACCCAGAACTAATTCACTTTTGGATTTTCCGGGATTCCGGATTGTGGGGCCAATTCATCTGGTTGGAGGGAGGAGGAAAATTTTGTAGATTAAGTTAGGTTAGGCCTATGTTTGATGTTCCTATTATTCATGTGCCAAAGTGCCTTAACCATTGAGAGTTTGTATAGTTTTGTATTGTATCTTTGTTGTCAAAGTCATTATTCTGATTCAGAGTACCAACATTTGTTTGCTATTAACTCTTGTACCTTGTTTGAACTTTCAAAAGTGCCTTAAACACAATCATTGATTAAAGTTAATTGTATTCTTTCAGAAATATCATTCTTTTATTGATCTCCTTAAACTTGTCTAGGTTAGTGGACAATCAAACAACAGATTGCAAGTGTGGCTTAGGCCAATTCTTTTCAGTACAGCTAAACAGATTTTGCCTAATTTGAGAGATATTAACCTTGATTTGTTGGATAATTTCCTTTTGGTATCTTATTATCTTAGTCTTAAGTCAGTTGATACATATTTATTTGAATAATATTGGGTACTGTATATTTGCATATTTGTTTGAGATTGATCAGGTAGACTTACTAAATACATTAGGGTATTGATGTTACGGCATCAGACATGAAAATCGGGTTAGGTAAAGTTTAACTCTCTGCCTTACTACCATAGCAACCACGAGAAGAGTTTTCTCTCCGTTGTAAACTCTTATGAGAGATCTCCAAACGGAGTGGCGCCCCCTAAACCGAGCTAGTACCAATAGACCCGGTTGCTATCGAAGTAAACAGGTTAAAAGGAAGATATTTGTTAGTGAACCCGACCCATCTCCCTGAGCAAAGGCCGGCACAGCAGTTTGTGAGGCTGCAATTTCATGGAAATTTAGCATATTATGGTCCTTTTAACTCTAAACAAATGATGCCGTAAAACCCCCCTAATGCTGTAAAAACTACGGTTTAAATGGCATAGCTATTGTTATGATTTTACTCATAAAATAGTATAGTTACTCCCATCGCTTACACATATAAGAGTTGTTGATAAGAAAATGGAAGAAAGTAAGCACGTAATTTTGCTGATACTGTTTATTTTAACCATTGCCTAATCATTTCCAAATACGGAAATAATTTTTAAATACAACAGATTCAACAGATTTATGGGAATAAAAAGATATACACACACATGTAACAAATAAGACAGAATAATAATTACCACAACTTTTACCACAAAGTGTACGTTTTCTATTCTTATGATACACTTTTTAGTGCGGACTTGGTTAGTGTAATTAGCCTTGGATCATTTAACATTTTAAAGTTTCCAAACATGTTTTAGTCCGCTGAACATCGCACGACTGCGCCAGATTTGCATTTTTATCCAATTAAGGAAGCCGTTACATCGGCTAAAGACTCGGGTTTTTATCTGTTACGCTATTTATGAATATTTTCCACTTGTCCTTCTGAAATTTTACTCTTAACATAACCTAGTTTCAAAATCAGAACTAATTAGTAAATAAGGTTAAAATCTTTGGTTAAACATCAAGATTGTCAATATAATTAACGTTGTTTGAAAATATTTAAATCCTCAGAATTTCTAGTATGTAAAATAATACGTTAAAAAGGTATAAGCAAAGGAACACTTAAGTTAATTTGAAATCAACTACCCTATATAGAAACTACCACAAAATAATACAAACAGGAAGATCCTACCTATTATCTGGTCGGCATTCCTTCTAATCCACTGTTCAATCACATTTCTGAAAACAAAAAATTAATTTTCTTAAGAAAAAACGTTTACTGTAAGAGGCAAATGTTATTAAAATATTTTCCCCTAATTTCAAAAACCTTGTTTCATACTACAAAGTCTTAAAAAACGTGGAAATAAAATATAATGACGATTATTCAGTTTACAGAAATGAAGTGTGTTTATATCGCCAAATTCAGTTTCTTTCCAAGTTCAAAGTTTGACTTCCTCTGATCTATTGTTATTATATCGCTCATTGGTCTTTCTAGCCTGAAGTAATGTGAAGTATGTGAAGTAATGTGTGAAACCGTTCTCAGCTCTGCATCCTAGGGTGTTTTATCCATCATCACTTTTTATGTCATGGAAATATCTATGTACGACGTATTAGCATTGGTTATTGGATACTATGGTCAAAGGTATTGATTAGTATATTTGTTGCAAATTTCTTGTTGATTATGAAAAAAGTGCTGGTAGTAAATAATCGGAATAGCAATAAGAAAGTTGTTGTAGTGAATTCACAGAAAAGGACCCAATTTAACTTCTTTTCTCTCAATCCTTGAGCCTCATTGGTCCGTTAATAATGTTGTAAAGGAAAATTGCTGTAAAGTGAATCTTTTCAATCCTAAGAACCAAATTGAACAGGCTAGTTTATAAACCGTCGCAGTTAAACATATTTACAGTATTTCACACTGTTAACCATAATTCGTCAAAGTTCTCAACAACATTTCACCATCCATTAGGTACACCAGTGACATATCAATTCCTAACAATACACAGTTCAGACAGATTATGCTCAGAGCTCTCAGACGTGTCGTGAATGTATTACCGAACGTCAACTCTGATCAAACCACTCAACAGATGCCAATCAGTGTTGACGACAGACACAATCGGAAGCAATGCAGACTCCTTGACGTTAGAATATCACCACGGAGCAATCTAGAACCATTGGTGTACGTATTAATGCGGAAGTAATTTACGTTTATTGGGCATCCAGTAAACAATGGCACCGAGACCTTGTTCAACTCGGAAAAATTCAGTTGAAACCAAAAGATGTTTTTTTTTTCTCAGATGAATAGTACTGCTATTAGTTCTTAAAAATAAACGGCATCAGCAATCTGACACATAAATTCTCCCATTAGCTTGTCAACTACCTTAATCATGTATTAGTGGTGGGAGTGTGATATTTTATAAGGAAAATCCCAAAAGTTGCATTAACTTTTGAACCGTAATTTATACAGCAATGCTCTGTTTCGTTTAGAGTTATAAGTACCATGACACACTTATTTTTACCAAATCAGGTTTTTTTTTAATCCGGTTTTCCGTTATTTTATGGAGTTTTTAATGGGAAAATAACTTAAGTTACGATAACTTTTGAAGTGTAATTTAGACAGCCATCATCTATCTTTTTGTTCCAAATTTAAAGGATTATAAAATACTACATTTTATAAAAAAATTCCATTTTCGAGAAAATTAAATCTTTCTGTCATGATAGGGGTTTTTGTGGGAAAGTCACAATTATAAATAAAAATTTCCGAAAATAATAAAAAGTCACCTGGAGATACCGTGATTATCGATACTAAGTCATTGATTTAATTGCTAAGGTATGTTCACGAAATCGTGGGTATGTTGTTAGATTCTATTGGATCCATTGACTTCACAATATAAGAAGTGTTTGAAAGTAAATAGGTCTGCACTATTAAATAAGATTCTTTTCAAATTAAATCATAGAGTGCATTTTTAAAACACACATCAGCACCAATTACACTTAAAAGATTGCCTAGGACCACAGGTTTACCTAATGAATAAGCATTGGCATATTTCATGAGTGTTTAAAACGTAAGAACTGCACCAGAAAATAAGCGAGAGCATCTTTACAATTTATCACGATTCAAAATCATAAAGATAAAAGATATAAATATGAATTGCATATATGTATGCATACTCAGTTTAATTAAGCAATGCATTTACATTTAAGTGTATATTATGCAAGTTTGCAAATATATTTATCAACAAATGATCGCATAATAATGTTGTTATCCATAAAGTATTCCACAACTAGCACTGTCTCAACCGCAATGCAGGTTCAGAGTCCAGTTGTAGTTGTTATGTATGTTCAACACGTGCCACCATCTTATTGTTTCTAGGTGATTCTCCAATTGGAACATCCCTCTTTATCATTTCACGACCTAACATCATGTGTTGCAGTTTCTAACATCCGTTTCAACATTGTATACGAAATAAATGGTATCAGCAATCTGACACATACTTTTTCCTATTTGCTTGTCAACAACCTTTATCATGATTAAGTGACGGGACTAATATTTAATAGGTAAAATCACAAAAGTTGCATTTACTTTTTAATCGCAACTCTTACGCGAATGAGGTAGCACTATTTTGCTTAGAAAATTATTATTCTAAGGAACATAAGAGACGAACTACAATCATAACTGGTAAAAAAATCCATTTTCCGTTTGTGTAGGTTTTATAGGAAGCGTAATTTTTACAGTTACACTATGTTGTTAAGAATTATAAGGACCATCACATACTAATTTAAATCAAAACTGGTTTTTTTTATCCAATTTTCTCTTTTATAGGCCTATAGGTTTTATGGAAAAACCGGATAATATCCACTCAAAACTCAAACTCGACAATTTTAACGAAAACAGTACTTTCTCCATATACTGTATAGGTTGATAAAGTTAAAATTAACTTTTTAAAACGTGAATTTCAAAATATATATTTAAATCTCAAGGTTAGGGTATGAGGCTGATATATTTGTTAAAGCAAGTAGCTTCTGTCGCAAAACCCGGGACCTACAATCCAACCCTGTTGCCAAAAGCAAGTACTATTATCATATTATAATACAATGATCCGTTTTTGTGCCCATCGGAGTCTGCAAGCCTAAATATGTAGAAACAGGATCGGTCTATTAAAAATAAAACTTTTTTATTTATTTACACTATCTATCAATCAGAATGCAATAGTGTCTTTAAAAACGTTATCTGGGCTATAAAACTATCCTAATCATAACATACCATTTTTAGTAATGGACAAACAAATCAATGCTCAAAAAGTTGCTACATATATATCACCATCGGAGGAAACATTATTATTCGTACGAGCTTGATAACCAAAAAAGTAAAACGTCCAGAGAGGTCAAGATTGTCTTAAGCTACAAACAATATTTTCTTTTCTTGGGTTAAACGATGTCTAAGTTGGTTCTTCTGGTAAAAGTAGGCAATGTATTTCTCGTCATAAACTAATACATTCATTTTGATAGGCGTATAAATAGTTCAACATCCCGTATGGTTGAATTGAAGTTGGATAAAATATCTTAAATGCGCATCTGTAAAATAATCTTGAGATTTAAACAGTTTGTTCAGACAAGTCGTTTAGTTTCGTATCACGTTGTTAGCGTGCTGTAGTTTTTTATTTGATGTGGGGGAAAGGTAGTTGAAGATATAAAAAAATTAAGAAATGAATCGAAGGACCAGCCTAAATTAGGCAAAGAAAAAGATGCTAAATGGAGCAATTCAAAATTGATATTGTTGGGATTTGTCAGCTAAATATTTTACATAAATAAATTATATAAAAAGAAGTTACAAGACAAGTTTCAATTTAATGTACAAGGTTGTTACATTTCTAAGAGTAAATTGGTCCAAAAACTTAATATTGAAACTCACCGAGAATTTCAATCATTATTTACAAGTCCATTGATGGAACCGTCTTGATAGATTCATAGCTTCTTGAGTGATTAAGTTCAAGTTCATTCACTGTCTTGGTGATTAAAAGTATCACTTTAAAAATGTGTTCTCCTTCATGCAGAATTTAACAATGTTCATAATACGAATTGTATAATGTAGTTTAAAGTAAAATGAATAATATTTTCTTGAATCCCATGACAAATTGTATGTGGGTTTTAAAATAAAATTGAGAATAAAATTATATGTAGTGATTGTACTGAAGATAGAAACACAATGTTTTTTTTTTATAATAATAAAAAATATGATGTAAATAAACAAATAAAATCACTTTCAGCTGTCAAGAAATTGGGATAGGAAAGTAAGATAGGAAATTATAATTAGAACAAAGAAGAAATAAAATTATAAATATATTGAAATCAAATTTGAAAAAAATATGGAATAGTACGAAACATTTGATTTATTGTATATTGAAGGTAGTGGACTAAACAGCAAAAGGGACCTAACCTAATAATCAACCTATATAGCGTAAACCGCTACGCATTATAAATACACAGACATAATGTAGACATATAATAATATGTAGACACATTGTAGACATAATGTCTACAACATGAATGACTGGTTTATTTTATTAGCGTAGTAATGCGTGACGATATTATAGCTTTTCCTGGTAGAGATACAGTAGTTTCATTTACTGGTTGCTACCTAAGTCTTCAATCACACTGACAGGTTAATTAAACGATAACATCTCCTGAAGACCCTTGGCCATTACAAGGTTTCTCGAGGTGTTGCTTTGTGGTATCTTAATATTATACATTATTACTTCATGCATTATTAAAATGCTACAATTAAGTTGTTTATCACGGTATAAAGTTAGTAATGTAATATGATTTTAAAATATAAAAGAAATTTTAAAATAACTTATGAAAGATTGTTAAATCTCCTTTAGTATCTTAAACAAATATTTTGTTAAGAGACCCAACTGCCTTCACTAATATTTACAATTTGTTTTTGTAAGGCCAAAGGGGAATCTATAAGTTCTGTAAAGCAGTTTAAACGAATTGTACAATCCCCCAATAGCATATTGATAATGTTCCCATTATATAAAAATATCTTTTGGACCTCTCAAATAAAGTTTTATGATAAGGATGGGAAGAAATAACGATATATGACTCTACATAAAATGTTCCATAACTGGTAGCACTTAAACATAACAATAAATTCCTATATTAGGGAATTTCTTAATTAGGGAAGTAGATATTACCATAGGTAGTACGGTAAGACTTAGGCCCGGGACCGTTTTAATTTT